AAAGTATTGGATTATTTTCTCTCTTTTGAATACTCAGAAGTTTTTCCTTCTAGCATATAAGTTACAAAAACGAATCGACGCCGAGAGTCTCGCCAGAGTACCATTAGATAAACAATGATTTCATATGTATATAGAACAGAGTGCTCTTTGTCTTTAGGTGACGTTTTTGCTTTCGTCTTTGTGAATAGTCTTCAGTCTCCTGGAGAAATCAGGAGAGTAAAGACGGTCCTTCCTCGTACATCAAATTAATAAACTAAAAGGGATAAGTTTAATTCACTGCGTTTTACTTTCATTTATCTACCCATTTCCAATACAAAGTTATCTTAGAAAAGTAAAAAAAATAATAGTAACAATAGCGGGGACTCGAACCTACCTACAGCATTCTAGTCAACCGTTCTATCGATTTGCCGAAAAAATGGACAATTTGGGAACAGGAGATACGATTATTCTAGCCTAAATACTATTAAAATTCATTTACTAGGTGCGCGTAAAGCATTAAATCGAAATACAGTAAATTCTCCCTAATCGACGCTTAGATTCTGCATAAAAATGGATAATTTGAGAAGAGCAGAAACGATTTTATAGTTGCTGACAATCGATAACTATAGAAACGAGTCGCAAGGCACGAACAATCGTATCTCCTCTCCCGAAATTGCCCATTTTTTCTGTACAACCCGAGCGTCGCTTAGGGAGAATTCACTGTACCTCGAAAACGAAGGCCCAATGCGAAGAAACGCGTTAGGGTTTTCTGAAACTACTATGCACGCGCTATAACTTGTATCTACTTTCCGTTCCAAAAGCGATTTCCGCTACCGAAATGTCCCCTCGTAACTTACGTCGCGACATTTACTTATTTAGTTTCGAAAGCCGCGCTTGCAACGCCGCACAGGACAGAGAGGCCGGAGAGGCTCACAATTTCGAGGACACGAAACTCTGGACGAGACCTAAATACTTGTTCGCAGTTTGCGAAACATCACTAACCTGACTCAAGGTACTCGTGACGGCCGAACATGCCAGCCACCTGCTGCAGAAGAATCCCGCTTGCCCCGTGTATCCCGTGCGACAGCATCTGCACTATCACCCCGACGACCATGACGATCCATCCCCAACCACCTTCCGGATAATAATGCTGCTTGAGCGTGTGCAACTGCTTCCAATCGGCAACCCACTGCTTCGTGTTTTGTATCGGCCGATCCGCCGGCGTTTGCTCGTTGCCGCTGCACGCGACGCCGCTGTCGTGCATCGACAAACGCGGCAAGGACCTGCTGCGATAGAGCAGGGAGGCGACGGGAGGCTCGTGGTTGCCCTCGCGATCGTTCGCGTCCTTCTCCTCGTAGCCGTCAAGATAGCCGGCGTATCTCTCGAGATAAAGACGCCTGTCCCGAGACACGCGAGACTCCCCGGAATTTTCGTGGCCGTGAACGGGCGCCGCGTCGTCAGGGGATCTTCGGCCGGCGATACGGCCGGTGTCCTGGCTCGCGGATCGAGACGTCCTGCTGGCGGCGACGTCCTCCAGTGTTTTCTCGCTCGTCCCGACACCGGAATCTTTAAGAGAATCGACCGGTTTACGAGGCGCTTCGGAGTGCCTGCAACCGTCGATTCGATCCAGGATCAGATTCAGGTGGTTCCTCGGCGCTGGGACGCGCGAATCATCCTGATCCTTTCCAGGGTCCATGGTCCCCGACCCGCGACGCTCGTTCGATACTTTGCAGACAGCCCTGGCAGAGATCGATGTCTCGTCCTGTAAACTGTTGCTCTTGACTTTCACTCCGTCGTCGACCCTAAAGTCCACGCCGGGACGCTTTCGACCGCACACCCGGAACTTACGCGCGTCGTTCTCCGGTACGTTAACGTTCCCACTCCTCGCGCGGAAAGACGAAGACCGGTCGGAAGGCTCGATCGTCCCTTCGTTCGACTCTTTATCGTGCTTGATAAGCGGGCTTCTTCTGCTAACGCCGCCGCGGACCGTATCGAATCCCGCCGTTGAAACGTCGTCTTCGCTCCGGTCCTCGTTATCCTCGCGATCCTCGTGGTCCTCGCGGAGGGCCGCGAGGAAGTATCTCTCCATTCCGCCATCGTTGCCAGCCTTCCGATAACCCGATAGATCGTTCGCCGATCCTTTAGCCGTGGCCTGGCCCGCACTTATTTCCGACTCGACGATAGCGGCTGCCATTATCCAGGCCCTTCAGAGACGTTCCTCAACTTCGCGTCCCCTTCCTCGTCGTCTTCGCCGTCCACGTCCTCGTTTCTCTGCTTCTTCCTCTGTCTCCTCCGGCTCTTCCATCTCCGAGGGATCCCTGCGCTTCGTTGCTGGCTGTTTCTTCAGCGGCGGCCGAGAATTACCAGTTAAACCATGCCGTTCCATTTACGTGGTCGATCAAGTACGGTGAACCGTCGGTCTCGGAACCTTCATGTGCGAGTTGTTCGCGAAAAACCTTAACGAACTGTTCATTTATCTTTTCGTCGACCCGATAACAACGAATGGTTGGTCGACCTTCAGCGGCGAGCGAACTTCCCAGTCACATATTCGAGCGACTTAAAAAAAGGAAGGTACAAGTTTCTGGGGTCTTACGAAATGATTGGAGCTTGATAACTTCTCGGTATCTGTTCTAGCAATATCGATCATCGCTACTGTGGGTTCCTTCGGTTTCTGTCGCGTTCTTTTCCGTTTTCATCGATTTCGAACACAGTTGATACTTGTAACTTAGGCTAACATACACCTCGGTCACTATCGGAAATAACGTGCCAGCGACGGAAGATGGAAAACTGTGGACTATCGTAGATAACGCGTTGGCAGAGAAAGGCTTTAGATCATCGAAGGCAACGCGTTGTCGAGTAGAGATCGAAGACTGTTGAAAATAACGTGCCGGCGATGAAGACTCGAGCGGATTAAGAATCGGTGTACAAGGTCTCGACAGTGATTTCGGTGAGGATTGTCCCACTGGTCACCGTGTAGTACGGGTACAGGTATCTCGGTCCCGATCTAAGCCTGCCGAGGACACGAGTCGCACGAGGAAGCGACCGTTCGCGACACGCTCGGCACGCAAACTGGTCGAGAACCGGCGCGGCCAAGAATCGTGCGGCTCTCTGCGACAGCTGCGCTTCTGGAGTCGGCTGGATCAGCCGAAGCCGGAGGAGTCCCTCTCTCTTTTTCTAAACCCCCTCTCGCCGGTCCTTTCTCAGATTTTATTTGGATCAGACCGTCCTCGGTGTTCTGGTTACCGAACCGTACTCTTCCTGCCGGCGGAATCGTGCTTAGGAAATTGTTTGAATCATAAATTGGATTGACTTTATGCGTTGAGTTGATCAGCGAGTCGCGTAAGGCTCATTTTTAACAAGTTGTCTGCCGCGCCAATGCCCATCAAAATTATATACTTGTTTGTCAATATATAAATAGAAAAGAGAACGGGAAATATAACATTTTTGTTGTTGTTAAGCTTGTTACATCTTGTCAACCCTAGCAATGCTTGGCTTACTTAACAGGTCTTAAAAATTAATCTTGATGTTTTATTATAAACTTGCGTTATTCGTATATGTACTTCTCGTGTGGCAGTCAAAGTGTGACGGACAGTTTTTTTATTTTTAGAGTATTCGAACGTCTTCTAAAACGAAGCAACTGTTTCACAGTTGGAACAAACGATATGAATTTTTTCATGTCAGAAAGACTAGTTTACTGGAAAATGTGTAAAAAAATTTTTTTCAAAGAACTGTAATTCGTTGTAATGACAAGAACAATAGGAAAATTATGTTTTCAATATTTTTATCATGATCTAGAAGGAAAATTTCAAGAACATGTTTTGTAGGTATCAGTAACTGGTATGAGTGATGAAAATTTCATCGAAATCGATTGATGTATTGGGTTGGCAACTAAGTAATTGCCGATTTGTTCAATGAAACAACTTGAAAATTCCACGCTCGTTATTTCCACTCAATAGAAGGGAACAGTTCGTCAAACGAATTGGACCCTTGACAAATCTACGCGTTCTTCTTCGTTTGTGACTCGAAATGTGTCGTGATTTAATTATTTATTTATTATCCACGTTAACGTTCATTGCACCGCAATGTAATTGCAGGCGTTCCTGCTCAGGCGGTATAAAAGGTATTCTGTGGGAACGTATAAAATGTAGCGAACTGCTGATTCTATGTTATTCTACTCTTATTCTATTGGGTTAGCAACTAAGTAATTGCGGATTTGTTCAATGAAATACAAAATTTTTTTTACGTGGAATGAAGTTTAATCTGTAATGTATTTTCCATTTTGTTCGATGATCTTTTGCCGTCTCTCTGACAACTTGAAAATTCCACGCTCGTAGAAAGTCTGATCCTTTTCGGCCAAAAACTGAGTTAAGTGAGATTTTACAGCGTCACCATCATTAAAAGTTTTACCAAGAAGGGAGTTGTCCAGGGATCGAAATAAGTGGTAATCCGATGGCGCGAGATCAGGGCTATATGGTGGGTGTAACATCAATTCCCAACCAATATCCATCAATTTTTGCCGAGTGGACAAAGACGTGTGCGGCCTAGCATTGTCCTGCTGGAAAATGACACCTTTACGATTGACCAATTCTGGTCGCTTTTCCTTGACCGCTGCATTCAATTTGTCCAGTTGCTAACATTCACGGATAATAAAAAATAACATAATAATAATAATAATAATTTTATAATATAACATTTACGGATATCATAAAAATGGGAGTGAGAGATATAACTGAAATCGGCAATTACTTAGTTGCCAACCCAATAGAAATAGCGTATGTACAGCTATCTGAAAGATGTCAAGTTCTTCTTGCGTAAGATGTATAAATGGATTTTCTATTCCATTCCAAATATATCCAGCAAATTTGATTGCAATATCTCTAAAATTGGCGAAGTTACGGCAAATTTTGTATCGACGTGCGACGTTCACGAATAAGATTGATCGTCGTATTTCGTACCGCTGCGTCTGACAAACACGAATCTTTGGTAACAGCAATCTGTTTTGTTTAGTAAACATCTTCTGGTATCATTTTGTGCATTGTGAACGAAAATTTGTGCTAGAAATCGGAGAAATGGCGTCTTCTAGTTCAAACTTCGACAGTGATCCAACTTCACGAAGATCTACAAACTCTTGATCGAAGAAAACTTCGTCAACAGGATATTTAAAAACGATGTCATATGAAAATTCAAGTGGACAGAGGAAAATCTTTAACTTCTTTTTATCAGAAGATGGGCGGCAAAGGGCATGTGTGCTTTATGATACAAAAATACTACCATATTAAATATTCAATTTACGGCAATATTCTTATTAGTTCATCCTATAGTGAAAGCTATGAATAATTTTCATTATCTTCAAGGTGCAACATATTTCCAGCTGATTTCGCAATGCGGATTCCAATCGCACCAAAGCAAATCATAAAATCAGGAAAGCTACAAAACGTTAGAAGCTGGTATCATTTTCTGAACGAAGAAAAAGTAAATTGGTTTGAAGAGCAATTTAAGAACAATTTATCAGGAAATACACAATCTGTAGATTTTGATTCTGTTTTGGATGAAAATATTGAATTCTATTGGATTGAAAATATTATGAATGAAGTCGAATAAATTGAAGCAGATAACCGGCACTTTTTCATTTTTATGTTACAAAATTATAATTCTTCCAATATTAAACGTGTACATATTCTCAAATATTATATAAAAATCATAGACAATACAGAATAACGTTAATAAATATAATGTTTTACCACATGTTTGTATTTTATGCATGAAGGACCTGAGGATATTATTGTATGATCAATAATTGTCTCATCAAATGCATTTACTACGTAATTCGTGTTATACTAATGAAATGAAAAGGAGAAAATTTGCGGTTATAAATATTTTAAAGAGTTCCTAAACAATTTCACTAGGTATAAGAAATGTTTGTCTTTATAATGTTTAGAGATTCTTTTCTTGATACCCACTTTTGTCATTCAAGCCCTTCTTGCATCCAAGGGTTCAATTCTTGGTCCGAAGCAGTGTTGCTAGGGAATTGATGGCGCGTGGACCTCCACGGTCATCGCATCCCTCGCAATCGTCCACAAGATTCTTTTTGCCTCCACTCCTACTGGAGAGTCTCGGACAGGGGTTAGGTACATTTAATTGTCTGCAGCACGTAACAATGTTAACCAATATTGATGAAATTTTTAGCATGCATTCAAGTTATTGTTAGCTAAAAAAACACATTGTTTACATTTTTGTTGTAGATTCAGACGAAAAGCTTTAAAAACGCTTTCTCCTTTTTCTCGTCATTACAATATTCGACAACAAAACACACTTTGTCTAGTGAATTTGTTTCCCTAAAATTCCAAAAATATTCAAGTCATTTAGTCCAATTTGAAACAAGTTATTATATTTTTAAAAAGTGTCCGAATATTCCCGAGACTCGCATTAATATTCGGACACCTTTGAGAACAGAATAACTTTTTTAAAGTGAACGAAATAACTTGTATATTTATATATATTACGGGGAGATGAAAATCCAAGAGCCATTCAAGAAAAATCACTTCATCCAAAATAAAGTTACAACTTAACATGGATTTTGGTCGAAAGGCGTGATCGGTTCATTTTGTTTCGAAAACGAGAATGTAGATGCAGTTAAAGTGAATGGCACACCTTATAATGAAATGATTATTGATTATTTATGGCTGAAATTAAATGGAATCGACATAAGCAATGCTTATTTTTAAGAGGACGGAGATGCGCAACGCACAACGTGTGAAAACATCACTTTATTGCGATCGAAATTAAATGGTCAATTAATTTTAAGAAATAGTGATGTGAATTGGCCACTTGATTTGTGTGTTTTGATCCCATTGGACTTTTTTCTACGAGATCACATATTTGAAAAGCAAAGTTTACGCCAACAAACCAGCAACAATTCACGCGACCTAAGAAACAACATTAGAAATGAAATTGATGAATTAAAGGAGCAAATATACCAAAACGTTTTGATATTCGAATTGATGTCTGTAAACGTGATCGTGAGATGGTCATTTGACAGATATTCTTTAAAAACAATAAAATTCAAAACTGTTTGGTTTTTATTTTAAAAAAGCTTCCTACAGCCTATTTTGGATAACTAGATAGGTTCATATAACAGGGGTCGGTTAATTGACCCCATTGGACCTTTTTCTTTGGGCTTATTTGAAAAGCAAAGTTTATGCCAACGAACCAGCAACAATTCATAAAACAACAACATTAAATACAACAACAACATAAAAAACAACATTAGAAATAAAATTGGCGAATTAAACGAGCAAATATGCCAAAATGTCATCGAAAATTTTGATATTCGAATTGATGACTGTAAACATGGTCGTGGTAGTCACTTTACAAATATTATCATTTACACATAATTGTCACAGATGATACTTGATAATTAAATAAAAAAGTCAATAAAATTCATAACAGTTTGTTCTTCATTTTAAAAAAAACTTTCCCTATTGTCTATTTCGGATAACTCGGTATGATTACATTTAGAGATAATACACGTCTTCACACTTTTTTAAAAACTCCGTAGTGAAAAGTTTCTGTCCCATACGTCCCCTTTTTGAATTTAACCCTTAAATGCATAGAGTCCCAAAAATGAATCAATAACTTTTTGCGCGGATACCCGACAACAGTTTTGATATCGATACATTTGGCTGAATGGCAGTGATTCCTTTGTCCATTGACTTATCAAAAATTAACTAAAATAATGACAGTTGACTTCAATATTTGTATCTTTCTGACGTTATACCAATTGGCGCGCATTTTTGATAGCGGGTTCATTTACGTACTTTTGGAAGTGGATTATTTAGAAATATTTTGGTGTATTCGTTAAACAAACAATATTTTCTAAAGGTAAGGCTCTTATTTATTAATTTGCTAGTACTTTTGTCTATATTCCGTAACTATCATGTGTATGGAGGGCTTATTTCGTGTTGATGCAAAAATGGGACAACATGCACTAATGGTAATAATTACGACATGTATTTAGTACTATGCTTCCTTTATTGGTTTGTTGGTTTTGTTTTGGTGTGGTATGCATGTGGTTTATAATTTTGTTATAGATATGTC